ATATCTGCTCTCATTGTCTGGTGTTAAGCAACACATGATCTTATTGACTAAATAAATCTGGGTCACAGAAAGTGTTGAAATAACATTCGTTGGTGCATATGTCTCTATTGATAGTGGCTCTTATTCCTATTTTATGTATCAGGGGGCACATATGGCCCAGTCGTCTAGGGCGCTACAATTCGCTGTGCAGAGTTGCGTCCATTGGGTACGCAAGAAACCTATGATTGTGATTTCGAATTCCGGTTCGCCACGATTATGTTTCCAGGTTTGTCAGCACCATACCCGTGCTCGTGGGTTTCACCTAAGTGATAAACCTCTGAGACCCGCATCACTTCGGGCTTTCCTCCCACATTAAGCTGACACGCCATCAAAACTGGAATACTGTTCAAAGCGGCGTTCAACTAAATTTACTGCACAGGATGTCAGGATTGCCAAGTGATTTTAAGGCGCTGCAGCTTGATACGTACAGCTATTTCCCTTAGATTGGTTGGTTGGTTTGTTGTTTAACGCCGCACTCAGCAATATTCCAGCTATATGACGGCGGTCTGTAAATAATCGAGTCTGGACCAGACAATCCAGTGATTAATATCATGAGCATCGATCCACGCAATTGGGATCGATGACATGCATCAACCTAGTCAGCGAGCCTGACCACCCGATCCCGTTAGTCACCTTTTACGACAAGCATTGTCGCCTTTTACGGCAAGCATGGGTTGCTGAAGGCCTATTCTACCCCGGATCTTCACGGGTCTGTCCCTGAGATGCCAGGATCAGCTGATGTCTTACTTTTTAGATGTATGCATATCTAAAATTTGGAACATTTTGTCAAATAGGAAATGTGTATTTTCATGAGACTTCCATATTTACTAGTTATGGTTGAGTTATGCTTATATTCAGAGTTCAAGCACCTGTTTGACTTGGGAGAGCTGAAGAGTGTTGTCCAGAAAATTGCTGACACCGTCGGATCTGACGCCACCGAGACTGCCTGTGAGGCTGAGTGCACCACTATTCTGCACAGCAATGCACTTCTTACCAGCGGCTGCGATCTCATCTGCAGATCGTGAGTGAATCTCTTCATTAGGGGTAGCCCAGTGGTAAAAGGGTTCGCTCGTCACGCCGAAGACCCGGGTTCGATTCCCGACATGGGTGCAATTTGTGAAGCCCATTTTTAGTGCTCTCCTCCGCGATATTGCTCGAATATTGCTAAAAGCGCTGCAAAACCATACTCACTCACTCATTACGGGTGGTGGGGTAGCCTAGAGGATAAAGCGTTCGCCCGTCACGGGGGTTCGATTACCCTTACGGGTACGATGTATGAAGCCTTTTTCAGATGTCCCCTGTCGTCATATTGCTGGAATATTGCTAAAAGCGTAAAATCCTACTCAATATTTGCAACACTTCTTTGTCCCATTTCTCTTGTTGAGTCCCCTGTGAAGTTGGAATTGATCCCAAGCAGCCTATCGTAAAGCACAATAATAAATCTTGTTTCATGTGTCAGAAAATTATGAAGTTGATTAGCCTTAAATGCAGTTGATATTACAGCCCATTGATCTTATTGCTTTATCGCTGTGCAGAGTTGCGTCCCTTGGGCACGCCAGAAACCTATGATTGTGGGTCGAATCCCGGTTAGCCCCGATTATGTTTCTAGGTTTGTCAGCACCATACCCGTGCTCGTGGGTTTCACCGAAGGGGTAAACGTCTGAGACCTGCACCACTTCGGGCTTTCCTCCCACCTTAAGCTGACACGCCGTGATATAACTGGAATAATGTTAAACGCGGCGTTAAACCCAACTCACTGACTCACTCTTATTGCTTTACTCAACATGGGTATGACGTCCACTGCCATGACATCACTATATATTTTCAGTTAGCATAAGACCAAATGTTTTTTCACACACATGTGATATAAGACTTCATATATATATTTACAATTTATATCATTTTGATTCCAGACTACAGTCTCTTGTCCAGCGGTTTCAGATCGTCTAAGCAGATTGATATGCAAAGCTACAAATAAACATATTTTTCGACATCAGAATACTGTCGTTTTTCATGAAGCAAATGCGCCGATCTCAAGAAATATTCCTTCGTTTCCAAATAAATCGTATGTTTTTGGCCGTTCACAAATGTTTACCTCAGACGAAGCTGCTTTGAATTTAAAGTAACCAGTAACCATGTTAAACATTTTAAAAATGTTTTCTGCTTTTCCAATATTTTTAATTGAAATATTTCCGCGGAGATAATTATCAACTAAGCAATGACAATACATTTACATATAATCAGTTGATATTCAGAGACAATAATCGCCTTTCTCTCAAAAGTCCTCTTCTTTGCACATTTTGAGATAATGTATTTCTTGTTGTTGCCCTATTGGGATTTCTGGGGATTCCTGGGGATTCCTGGGGATTCCTTGTTAGAATTGTTCCCAAGGATCGGGTGGTTAGGCTCCGTGACTTGATTAATTGGTGTCACCATACCCCGATGTTGTGGATCGATGCGCGGAATATCGATCACTGGATTGTCTAGTCCAGACTCGATTATTTACAGGCCGCCGTCACATAGATGGAATATTGCTGACTGTCGCTTTACAAAAAGAAAAAGAAAAAAGAAAACAAACAAACAAACGTTGTGATCTGTATTCAAAGTTAATGCATTTTTTGCATCAAAGCACACTAACAATTACGTGAGCCTGATGTGAAATCAAGTTTACCGTCGTGTTCAAGACTATTTGACTCATTTCTTGACGTGCGCGTGTGACTGTTTGTACTCGTCCGTCGGTTTTATAGCGATAAACCACGGAGATACCATGCCGAAGTTTAACATGAATACCCCACTCAGTCACAGTTTTCTGTTTTCTGAGCCGACCAGTCCTTGTTTTAGCCCCTTAATGCCAAACGCCAGACAGGGTAACAACAAGCACATGCTTTTAACGTTTTTGGTATGATACGACCAAGGGGTCGAATCACCGACCTACCTCTTTCTGGGCAGACGCTGTATCCCATGGACCAGGGATGCATGCATTAGTACGACATCCAATGAGTGGAGGGGTTATGACACTGTAACCTCTATCCCCGCACACTAATATGTGTTGATGTGAGGCACCCGATGACTTTAAAACCGGTGACAGAATGTATGATTTGGCCATGCTTACCTAGCTTTGAAATGTTTATTTACTTGTAATTCTATCAAACGACTTGTAGGGAATTCTGGCATCGACATGTCACACCGACCTCTTTATCGTCTTATGATCACCAGCACGTGTGTCCACGGGAGCGTAGTCAATTTCACCGTCATGACCTACACGTGCACAACATGCGTACATCCTCTCTATCACGGCAACTCTGCACAGCGAATCGCGGCGCCTTAGACGACTGGGCCACCCGTGCCCCCTCTCTACCTGTGACAAACCAAATATGTTTGCCTTAATTCTGTGCACCGCCTACTTGTCATAAACGCGTTTTATAAGTCAGTTCAACTTATCGTGGCCTACCAGGAGAGTATTTGGAACGATCGAGACTTGGTTGCTGCGACTGTGTGGCCAGGCTCCCCTTCGAAGTATATTGAGTGGCTCTGTTTCCGAAAGTGTGCATGAATTATTGCGTGACCCGATCACTCAAACTAAATATTATGGACACAATGTATACTCAAACTACACGGAAATGTGATTTTGTAGACAAAACATACGAGATGTGAACACACGTTGTCCAGACAAATTCGAATATTTTATTTTACTTCTTCAGTACAATTAACATTAAATTCTTTGAAGAACATTCTTCTTTTAACAGAACAGTGAATAAAAGCGACAAAAAACCTTCCATATTCAATATGAATCACTGTCAAAAAGTGATGATACCGGGTGTTCGCGAAGAGGTGAGCGTATCCAACCTCACTGTCGGCTCCCGTTAGAAAATTATATAACGTCAAGGCCAGAGAACAACCAGTCTCGATTGTCCATCGAAGCTGAAGCAAGTCAACTGCTCACCTGAAAAAACAAGGGAACATATAGTACAAGTCAAATAGGGAATTTCATCACACATTATTTTTGTCAAGGAAGCGTTACATTTTGAAATGTTCTCCACATTTCTGCAATAAAACCTTTTGCATGCTTTACTGTGGCTTTGAATGTTGCAACCCTGATCAAACAACCTCAGGACATGCTTCAGATTGAGCTGGTAGATCCATGAAACCAAACCATGTTGATACGGGTGGAGCGAGTGTCACACTGTAAATTAAAACGACAAAGCAATTGCCATATTTATGACAAATCTCTGCTAAAAGCGGAGACGATTGTACAATTACGACTATATCATGAACATGTGTTTATGAATGACCATCAAATACTAAATCCAGAGATTCACATAGTGGCACTGTTTGACTTCTTGTGTTCTTGTCTGCTAACAACTATGAGCTTGAAATATCATTTGTGTAAGTAATTCTAATTTTTTTTAATAAATGTAAATGTTGATCGTTGCAACCGCCATGCATGTTTGCACACACAATAGTAGGAACATTTTAGTAATGCCTATGTATAGTGACATAACGTTAACCATATTCATTAATATTAACACGTAACTGGATTGCAGCCTTTTTCGGTTTTGTCTGTTAAATGAACACATTTGTTTTGTTAGTTATTTAAAAAAAATATAGGTTATAGGTAATAAATAAAATACCACAGTTTTTCTCGTTGGATACCATTTTTACGAAACTCGTTTATTTCCTACTGTACCCAGAACGGTATATTACGAGATCTCGTGTGATATGCTCCATAGTAATTGTACATGCTATTGGCCTTGAAGATCGGAATTGTGATGGCCTCTGTAAAAGACTTTTACATAATATTGTTAAATAACAACCACCTGTTTCTCAATAGTACTGCCCTACTGAATCTAAGATTGGAACGGTGAGATGTTCGCAGAATATAATCCAGGGTTTGAGCAGTGTTGCGCAGTATAATTAAATCGTGACTTGTTGGTCACCCTGCATTATCTAAAACTGACATCCCCCGCTAAAAATATGTAAACGTGTGTTGCATAGATAGGCAAATTGTAAGACAGACAACCGTTGGCAAGGTTATCGTGAAGGTGAATCCTATATAAGTCACCCAAGCTTCGTCTCTGTCCCTAGCGTCGTCTTCTACTACGGTAAGTTGCAACAATTCAGAGCTCAGTGTTGGGCGGTGGTTAAAGCGTTCGATCGTCACACCGGAGACCCAGGTTCGATTCCCAACATGGGTACAATGTGTGAAGCCATTTCTGGGGTTCCCGGTTGTGATACTGCTGGCATACTGCTAAAAGCTGCGTAAAATCATATTCACCGCCTCATTCTAATTATATCTTCTTGTCCATTACGCAGCATCTGACTGTGTATGCTATTAGCTATCTATCAATTATGAAGTTCAGAAGAGTCTTGTATTGATTATTGGGGTAAGGCAAATGTGAAACATTCTGACTTTCAGATCAGCAGCCATGAAACTCGCCCTTCTCGTGCTCGTGCTCCTGCCCCTGGTTTACTGTGACTCACTGATCGACCGTAAGTATCCTAAAACACACTCTCTCATTGGATAATATCTGCTCTCATTGTCTGGCATTACGCAACACATGTTCTTATTGGTTGGCGTTATTTAACACATCCGCTTATTGGGTCATATCAAACAATACCTGCTCTCATTTTCTGGCTTTATGCAACACATGCTTTTATTTGCTAGCGTTATGTAATACAGCCTCTCGTTGTCTGGCATTACGCAACACGTGTTCTTATTTGTTGGCGTCATGTAACGCATCCTCTCATTGGGTCAAACCAAACAATACCTGCTTTTGTTGGATGTAGCACATCCTCCCATTGGCTGGCGTTATGCAACACATCCTCTCATTGGCTGGCGTTATGTAACTCATGCTTCGTCGTCCCCGTGCTCCTTCCCCCGGCTACCATAAAAAAAACATGCGCACATTGGTTACTGTTACTTAATGCTTCCGCTTATTGCCTAACATTACATTCGTCCTCGTCGTCCTCGTGGCTTACCGTTAGAACACATCCTTTCGCTGGATAACATCAAACAACTGCTGCTATTGAGTGGATTTTTTAAAATATAAAACGTCAACGCCAGAGAATAAACGGTCCGCCGAAACAGATTCCATTGGGCGTAAAGGAAAATACTAGCGACGGAAATATGTGAATGGATCACTGAAAATTAGCGACGACAAAAGGCGTTTGCTGTAAGGTAGCGCATGTCCAGCAACCGCCCCACACACACGCACGCACGCACGCACGCACGCACGCACGCACACACGCACGCACAAAACAGTCCGCACAAAGACGTTGGACCTGCTTGGCGACATATAGTCTTCTTGCCTAGTGCAACGATTGTTCTCATTGGTTAGTAACGGCAATGCCTGCTCTGGTGTTATGAAACGTATGCACTCATTGGCTAGCTAGTGTTACGAAGCGTATGCTCTCACGAGTTTGTGTTTGGCAATGTTTGCACATTTGGCTAACTTGGAAGCCTCTGACTAATGTAATGTTATTCCTGCTCTGTTGAAAAGGCTGATTTCGTTAAATATTTTTTTAGCATTACGTAACACCTCATGCGCATGACTAATATTATCACCAAGACACTTTCCCACCTTACTTTGTGCTTCTTGAACAACTACCTTGTCCATGTTTACTAGTTATGGTTGAGTTATGCTTATATTCAGAGTTCAAGCACCTGTTTGATTTCGATGAGCTGAAGAGTCTTGTCCAGAAAATCGCTGACACCGTCGGATCTGACCCCGTCGAGACTGCCTGTGAGGCTGAGTGCACCACTATTCTGCACAGCAATGCACTTCTTACCAGCGGCTGCGATCTCATCTGCAGATCGTGAGTGGATTCTTTCATTAGGGGTGAAGGGGTAGCCTAGTGGTTAAAGCGTTCGCTCGACACGGGGGTTCGATTCCCCACGCGGGTAGGCCCGTGAAGACGCCGGGGTAGAATAGGTCTTCAGCAACCCATACTTGCCGTAAAAGGTGACTATGCTTGTCGAAAAGGTGACTAACGGGATCGGGCGGTCAGGCTCGCTGACTTGGTTGATACATGTCATCGATCCCAATTGCGTGGATCGATGCTCATGATATTAATCACTGGATTGTCTGGTCCAGACTCGATTATTTACAGACCGCCGTCATATAGCTGTAATATTGCTGAGTGCGGCGTTAAACAACAAACCAACCAACCCCACACGGGTACGATGTATGAAGCCTTTTTTCTGGTGTCCCCTGTCGTCTTATTGCATGAATATTGCTAAATGCGTAAAACCCTACTCATCATCCAATCCTTCAATATTTACAACATTTAATGTATCATTGTAATCATTCTCGGCCCCCATTTCTCTTGTTGAGTCCCCCATGAAGTTCGAATCCATCCCCAGCAGCCTATCGCATGTCGCTTGTCGTAGAGGCGACATAATGGATAGCTTGGTTGGGTATCTTGCTCTGGGCGTTGCTCATGATATCAATCACTGGTTTGTCTTGTCCAGACTCGAAAAAAACGCTTTCAAATATCTGGAAGTGCTGATTGCGGCGTTAAAGCACAATAATAAATCTTGTTCCATGTGTCAGAGTTATGGAATTGATATACGCAGTTGTTATTATTTTACACAACATGGGTATTATGTGTGAATCCCACTTTGACGTCCGCTGCCATGATATCAGTGGATTTTCAGTTAACGTAAGACCAAAAGACTTTATATGTATATATTCATACTTTATATATTTTTAATTCCAGATTCCAGTCTCTTGTCCAACGGTTTCAGATCGTCTAAGCAGATTGATATGCAAAGCTACAAATAAACATATTTGTCGACATCAGCATAGTGTCGTTTTTCATAAAGCAAATGCGCCTACCTCATGAGATGTTCATTCGTTTCCAAATAAATCATATGCTTTTGGCCTTCAATAAATGTTAACCTGAAGACAAGGCTGCTACACTATTGATCAAGAACTCTTTAAAATGTTGATCATTTTAATAATGTATTCCGCCATTCACATTTTTTAAATTGAAATATTTCCACGGAGATAATTACCAACTTAGTAATGACAATACATTTTCATATAATCAGTTTATATTCAGTCAATGATCACCTTTCTCTCAAAACTAATCTTCTCTGCACATTTCGAGATATCTTTCTTGTTGTTGCCCTATTGGGATTCCTGGGGATTCCTGGGGATTCCTTGTTAGAATTTGTCCCAAGGATCGGGTGGTCAGGCTCGGTGACTTGATTAATTGTTGTCACCATACCCTGACGGCGTGCATCGATGCGCGGAATATCTACGGACTCTTTGAATTGTTCCCCGGGTACATATGCTGGTTTATAAGGGGTGACTAAAAGGGTCTGGTGGTCAGGCTCAGTGACTTGGTTAAATGCGTGTCACCATACCCTGTGTGTGTGTGTATGTGTGTGTGTGCGCGTGCGTGCTAGCGTGCGTGTGTGTGTGCGTGCGTGCGTGCGTGCGTGCGTGTGTGTGTGTGTGTCTGTGCAATTTTGCAATATGCAAACACCTCAACACAAAGTGATACTAAATGATTGAAGACTGAATTTACTGAAACAAGGAATTTAATTAATTATGTTATTTGTGCAATTTGCAAGCACCACTCATCACAAAAGAAAACAGAAAATTGGATATGAAATGATCAACATGTTCATTGAGGCAAACATAACAAATAAATTTAAGTTATCAAGATGACATTTGTCAAGATTTTAAACCCCATGTTGAAAACATGATATGCTCTTCTCCCTTAACAGTTGTCGATATTTTTCTTTCATACATTTCATATGTATCTTATAAATAAAACAGCATGTAACATTTAAGGATTGGCTGTGTATTTTTTTCGGTTCTTTGAGGTATGAATCGAAACACCGATGTGCAAACTGTATGAATCCGCGTAGCACAGTCAATGCTTATAATTAAATTCGACAACGAAAATATGTTTTATCTGCAATAGTTTAACCAAAAACAGTTGTATATATCAAAGCAGACAAAAATGACGAGATTGATAAACATTCCAGGTGGAGGAATACACACTGTGGCGTGACATGAATCAGGTGATTGTTTAATTTATGCACATAACTTGACACACCTACACAGTCAGTAGCCAATCAACGGAGAGTAGGATAAAACAATGTTCATAGAACCTGTCAATCCAGACAAGAGTCGAGAAGAACTGCAACAGTCAGACTGTAACGAACCGGAAGAAATATGTCCGGGAGAAAGCGGCTGTTTCAAATGACATGGTCAGTTACCGCCAGATTCAAACATTACTTCCCTGAAAACGGGAAAACACAGTTGGAAAAATGCTTGTTAGAAATGAAACCCGAGGACATGAAAGTTGTGGAACCGAGGCGAGCGGGGGAAAAAACAACAGGCGACCGGGCATGCACGTTTACCGTTTCATTCCTTCTCGGCCTTCGGTTCCGAAGGGTAGTTTGGACAATGAATATGCATGAATGTCGCTAAATGTCCTGTGCATGACAATTCACGTGAACAGAACGGGAATTCCCTCGACTGTAATAGTGGGATTCCCCGACATTCCGCAGTAATAAAAGTAATGCGCCTCGGCGGGCGTGGCTTATTTTTTTTACATTCATTGGGAAATGAATGCAATAACACGTGACCAATTGAGCTAATCAGAAAGCAGGAATTTCAATGAACACAACGGAAATTCAATTATTTAAGGATTGACTGTGTATTTTTTTCGGTTCATTGAGGTATGAATCGAAAAGCCGATGTAGCGGATTCTTACAAAAGTTTGCACATCGGCTTTTCGATTCATACCTCAATGAACCGAAAAAAATATACAGTCAATGCTTATAATTAAATTCGACAACGTAAAACATGTTTTATCTACTATTGGTTAACCCAAAACAGTTGCATATATCAAAACAGACAAAAATGACGACATTGATAAACATTCCAGGTGTAGGAATACATACAGCTAGTGGCGTGACATGAATCAGGTGATCGTTTGATTTATGCACATAACTTGACACGCCTACACAGTCAGTAGCCAATCAACGGAGAGTTGGATTAAAACAATGTTCATTTGACCTGTCAATTAAGGCAAGATGCGAAAAGAACTGCAACAGTCAGACTGTAACGAACCGGAAAAAATATGTCTGAGAGAAGGCGGCAGTTTCAAATAACATGGTCATTTACTGCGTGATTCAAACATTACTTCCCTGATTACGGTAAATCACAGTTGGAGAAATGCTAGTTATAAATGAAACCCGAAGACATGAAAGTTGAACCGGGGCGAGCGGGAAAAAAACAGGCGAGCGAGCCTGCACGTTTGTTGTTTCATTCAATCTCGGCCTTTGGTTTCAAAGGGTAGTTTGGACAATGAATATGCATGAAAGTCGCTAAATGTCCTGTGCATGACGATACACGTGAGCAGAAAGGGAATTCCCTCTACTGTAATATTGGGATTCCCCGACATTCCGAAATAATAAAAGGAGTGCGCCGCGGTGGGCGTGGCTTAATTTTTTACATTCATTGGGAAATGAATGCAATAACACGTGACAAATTCAGCTAATCAGAAAGCAGGAATTTCCATGAACACAACGAAAATTTAATTATTGTGCAATATAACAGTAGCAGCATAGTAATCCGCACACGGACATTTACCCACATGAATATACATGTACAAATATTTAAAGGGGCACTGATCTTACGCAATTCCCCGGACTGGTTGTTGCCTTTGTTATTGTTTTTCCCCCGTGAGTACCCGGATAATACGCAACGCAACTGAGCGTGACCAAAGACTGGGCTACCGTCTGTAAGGACAGCTAAATAAACTTGGAGGCTGGAGGCAATATTTGTTTTACGCATTTTTGAACACTGATTGGTTAACTGTGATCTATAAAGATTTCGACAAAGGGCGAATGTTAATTAATTTCTTCAGCCTAAACAAACAGACAAAAAGAACGGCGGAGCTCATCGGATGTTGTCATTTGGAAATACCCCAGATGGTTATAGTTAAATAATAAAAAAAAGTATCCATGCAGTGAAAGCATTTTCGGATTTCGGATTGCGTCGATAATACGATTACTACTCCCTTGTAATCATCCACGTTTTCTCGTATAACCCTTCACTTGTGTATTTGTCGTCGTTCACTTGATGCTCAGTTAATGAATTTATAACAGGTACAATTAGTGGTAGCACTACTTAGATTACCTGACAAAGGTTCCCATTTGGCATTTATTGTGTACAAAGGGAATACACTCATATCATGGCGTGAAGTGCCGATGTAAAAACAACATACTTTGTTCAAAGGGTTAACTGATAATATGTTGATTGATTGCTCATTGTTATGTATCACTCAATGGATTTTTTAGGAACCTTGGACGTTATGAAAATGAAAATACTTGAGACTTGACACCTATGTGAAACACCTGAAACAATCTAAGTGATCAGTTGAGAAACGAACACGGGTTATAACATTCCGAAACTATATATATCTTTTACAATATTTGATTGTTACAGAGACACGTGGCATCGAATAAATTTCTTTGTACAGCTGCAGACAAGTGGGATATTGTTCCTTTGTGTGGATATTCACGGATACATTCCTCGAACAAGGAAGCTGCCTAAAATATAAACACATAAATTTGGTAGGTTTTAATTTTGGTATTTGCATTTTGATTTCCTTCATTTGCTGTAGCATTGGATAGATTCATTCTTGTTCCTCTACGTCTTGGTTGGGAAATTCTTCAATGCGCGATAGACGTTGTTTTCATAAGTCTTTTCCTTTGTAAGCGTGTATATATTACCGTCAATTGTAAAATGCGATTCTCTCAGGCAATTTATAAAATGTGTAAATATTTCAGTCAATTTGACTGAAAGATCTGTCCAGATTGACTTAAATTGATTAAGACGATCAAAAGTGCCTAAAAACATCACAACAGATTATTATGTAGGATTAGATTGGTTGGTTGGCAATATTCCAGCTATATGACGGCGGTCTGTAAATAATCGAGTCTGGACCAGACAATCCAGTGATTGATATCATAAGCATCGATCCGCGCAACTGGGATCGATGACATGTATCAACCAAGTCAGCGAGCCTAACCACCCGATCCCGTTAGTCGCCTTTTACGACAAGCATAGTCGCCTTTTACGGCAAGCATGGGTTGCTGAAGACCTATTTCACCCCGGAATCTTCATGGGTGTGTAGGATTAGAAGCCAAACAACATAGAAATGTACTTTTCAACGTAACATTTGCAGTCTCTTGGTGATGACATTAAACATCAAAATGTTTGGAATTCGTTATCATAATAATACAGATGGAAATGTTTTTCAGTCACTTGGAAAATAACTGAATATTGAGGCGTTTAATAAATTTTAAAATGTTACACATTTTGACTGTGAAAAAATATACACACTATGAAAAAAGCAATGCTCAGGTGAAATATTTACTTTGTGTTGCGAGTAAAAATAGTGTAAACGAAAATCGCAAAATTACCAAGCAAGTGACTTATCAAAACTTTGTCACCATTACCGATGCTACCCACAAATATACCTACATTTCCTTATTATCTCGAAAACTGTATTTCATTTTGTTGATCAATGTGACCATACGCCCTTATTACTACCCATAAAAGTGACTAATGCGCTTACGAATGGCGCAGCAGAGGTCGCGAACTAGTCTAGATTTCTGCTATACATCCGGGTACTCACTTGGAAAAAAACAATAACAAAGGCAACAACCAGTCCCGGGGAATTGCTTTTGATCAGTGCCCCTTTAAGAATTGACTTTCACTTTGTGTGAGTTCATTGGAGTATGAACCTTTATAAAGTGAGGGCAAAACTA